CTGAATGTGTTCATTCATTTCCTTAGAGTTGTTTTTTTTTAGGGAAACAGGAGGGGTTGCCCCCTACTGTGCTTTTATTGAAATTTAAACTTTGTACAGAGTTTGGAAGATACAAATCAAGAAACAAAGAAAGAGTTCCTTAGAGTTGTTACAGGATCATTTGCCCCAGTCTTAACTGCGAAGGCAGACAATTTTGTTGCAGATTACAGCATCTGACTGGGATTGGTCATCTACTCATCTTCACTCAACACAATTCAACAAAGAGCTATCCTATTACAGATAGCATCAGAGTCCTGGTATGGCTGGTCAACCTCAACAAGAGTTCATAAGCCGCATATAGCAACTAACACATATATTCCCTGTACCCAAATAATTCAATTCATAGCAGTACTATATAGAAATCGTTTTTGCCAACACCATTTTGACCGCTGTTTTTTTGAAACCGTTGTTGATGATTTTCACCGTCGCTTCATATACGAATTGTTGGTAAAAATCATTTTCAGCACCGGTTCATAATATGAATTGGAAGTGGACCAACGGTTTAAAAAACGGCTATGAAAATGGTGTTGGCAAAAATATGTGCCAAAGTAAAGCTTAATTCTAGAAAATGAAAAGGCTTAAGGCCCATGACTAGACAACCACTGGATTCAACCCATTTACATGCATAGCACGGCCTAGCTAAGAACTGTAAATCACGAGCGAACCGTGGCTATTGATCTGAGATGGATGGATAGGATCGACCAGAAGGAAAACAACTGATATATAAGCCCAATTGAAACACTAATAGCCGCAACCCTCACTCCTCCCTCACCCTCTCCCCTCGTATGGCACAGGCGTGACCCCCGGCCACCCGGCGGCGTGTGCGCGTCCCCTAGCACCAAGGACGATGGAGGTAGAAATAGCGATGGCGGCACCAAGGATAGATGAGGTGCTCCCAATTTCTTTCTCCTCTCTTGGATCTGTCTCCCTCCTTGTTCATTTCTCACTCATGCAGATTTTGTTCTTCTCTCTGTAAGAAAAATGATAACCATGCTAAGGCTATTAGTTGATTTTGATGGTTGTTGATGATATGATCATTTGGACTAATAATGTTTGCTAGTATACAAGGTTTAGTTCAAATGGATGCAAGGTTGGCTTGGACAAAGCAAACATGAAGATTGAAGTGATCAACACCTCAAGCAAGATATTAGAGTTGTTGTTGAAGATCCCAAGTCATGCAAGAAGTCCAAGTCACCAAGTTGAAGAAGCCCGGATGAGAAGTAACAAAGAAAAGGAGGAATTAAAAACAAAGTTAGCTAGCTCAACATCTAATTATAAAGAACTAGTTGGCAAAATCAAAGTTTTTTTTTTGCAAATTTAAATGTTGAGCTAACTAGCAAACTTGAAAAACCTAAAGCTAGTGTAAACACCCCCACCAAGGCACCTAAGAGAATCTCACTTTTTGTTATAATTAAAAAGGATTCCTCTACTTCTTGCATTGATTTAATTGAATTAGACTCACCCAAGTGCAACCAAGTTTGTGTTGAGAAGTGGACTGCCTCACCAAGGACTTGACCATCTTAAAAGGCAAGACGGAGTAAGTCCAACCTCATCAAGATTACACCAACAAGGGAGTGAAGAAACTTGATGAGTAAGCAACGGTAGTGTAGAGCCACAAGTCCCCTTCATTTGAAAATATTACAAAATTATTTGCGCTATAACTACGGTAGGTGTTGGAGTCCCCTTTGATATAAAATTTGTATTCATCCAACTTCATTTGAAAATGTTATGAATTTATTTGCGCCGTAACTATTTTGTAGAGTCGGGCCACCATATCAACTGCCATGAACATTGACTTCCATGGATAGTCTATTAAGAGCCAGTTTGGTATGGCTCAACTGTAGCAGGAGGCGGAGAAGCCCAAGGACACCAACTCCGCCAGCTCCTCCTTCCCGTAGTTCATTTTAGACCAGTAGGAGCCGGAGCCATTCTATGCTACAGTAAAATGAGGCTACTTATGGGCCCCTCTGCAACCACTTATAGGACCGTCTAGAAATAGAACTGTGTTTGAAAGAAAATGTTTGAAATTCATTTCCACAGTAGTGAGATCCGCCCATCTTGAGGATGTTGGCTTTGTTAAAACAGAAACGCTCCTTATAGGGCGTCCGTCCGTCCGGATGGACCCCGCCCTCGCCCATGCCGCCCCCGCTTGCGTCGCTCGCTCGCTCTGCTCGCGGGACAGACTCCGTCCTTGCCCGTGCAGCCCCCGCTCGCGCCCCTGCCACCCCCCCGCACCGCGTACGGTGAGTCCAACGAGCTAGGCGCTTGCTAGCTCGCTCCCGGACTCGCGCGCCTCCCGTTGCGACCGTGCTCCATCGACCTGCCCCTTCCCATGCTGAGGTCCATGCCACCGCCGAGCTCCACACTAGCGACCTCCATGCCACTCTGTGGCTTCGAGCTCCGTGTTGGCGTCGAGCTTCGAGTCGATAAGCCTCCATTCGTCCAAGCAGCAAGCAGATGCTACGCTGAAACCACATGTTGTAATAGTATGTTTCAATTGTCTCAGGTGTTTCTGAGGCATGTTGCAGGTGTTGTATATCGATGTTGCAAAAGTAGATCGGGATGTTGCACATATTGTAATGGCTATACACGTATGTTTCAAGTGTATGTTCCAAATGTTTTATTTGTTCCAGATGAATGTTGCAAGTGTTTGTCTGGATATTGCAAAAGTAGATCTAGATGTTGCATATACATGCATGTTGAAAGTATATGTTTCAAGTGTCTTTAGGTGTTTCATACGTATGTTTGCAAGTGTTTTATCTAGATGTTGCATATGTTTGCAATAGTTTTCAAATATGTTTCAGATGTTTTTGAAAGTGTTTCAAACACTTTGTTTCAAGTGTTTCATCTGTCTCTTTTTTGTATGTTGCAACTATTGCATTTGGATGTTTCAAAAGTAGATTGGGTGTTGCACATGGGATGCGCGTGTGAAGCGGCCGGTAGTGCGGATGACGTCTGGGACAGCGTAGGCGACGTTCGGGGCGGCGCTGGACCACTACCGGTGTGCTCCCTCGCGAGCCCGACGTGCTAGACGCTCGTTCGCTCCGTGTGCGGTTAGCGTCCGGACGCTAGCGCTCGGATCCGACGTCTGGGTGCTAGCAAGGCCGTTGTTAAAATTAGTTATCTGCGTTGTGAGACATGAGTTACCAAACGAGCGTTCTGATGAGTACAGGAATTTCTGGTTTCCAGCATGGCGCCTGAGCTAATACAGCAACACGACAATTAAAAAAGAACTAATACTTTAGCCATTTCACAACAACAAAAATGCTGTATTTCTGTAACAAACTGCAAGTTTAATTTAATTTAATCTCCAGCAGGGCTCCTTGCCCCTCCTGTTCTTTCAAAAAAAAAAATACTGAGTACTTTCACACACAAAAAAAATACTGAGTACTTTCTCACACTTTGGCTAGCTACTTTGTTTACTTGGCGTGAACGAATCTTCCTCACACAAGCTTGTAGACGAAGTAGCCAAAGTATATATGGGTTTAACCTATCAACGTGATACACGTGTAGGAATAAACCTATCTCAAGGTGCTCGATTAGGGACCTGCATGGACTGCACATTCTCCAAACCTTTCTTTTTGTCATTGAGCCCATCCAGATTCGAGATGCTTAGTGTTCCGGTTCCTTGAATTATTTAGCATGGAGCGTGCAGCACGCTAGCTCTTGCTTTATCTCAGTTCTTGTTGAGGTCCATGATGGTGAGCACACGCGCTGCACGCATGACTAAACAATTCGATCGGCTACTTTAATTTGCAGATTATCTAACAATATGTAATAAAATCACCGAAAAGTTTGCTGAAGGTTTTGATATTTTTTTTGACACGGGATGCACAGCTGATGAAGCCTGATTCAGAAAGCATAATTAAGAAGATCAGGATTCTGTGCCTTGGGTTTCCACTTAATCTAACTAGATCTCCAGTGTCTGAATTTTTGTATTCTTCACCTTTTTTCTTTGATTCTCGACAGGCATGGCAGAATATATGTTAGGTCAAAGATCCCATCATAAATAGTACCCCCACTCTAAATTGTAAGTCTTTATAGCTTTTCTATGTAAGCTATGTAGTTAGAAAAGTCAGAACTACTACTTGTAATTTGGAGATTTGTAATTTGAAAATTGGAACAGAGGAAGTATATATCATCTCTCTAACCGTTGCTGTCGTGCGTATTATAATTCTTGTGGATTATATTCTTTATAATCTACATGAATTTCTAGAGTACCTCAACGAACAACCTCTCAAACTCACTGAATTCAGGAGTACCTGGCGTGTTCGCTAGGCCAACCAAATTCAAGAGTTGTGAGTCCTATCGTCTAAGTCAGAAATATACGGTGGAGAAATTTGTTCATATTTTATCGAACCGGCCGTGACTTGGACTACATATCTACTAGTGCTTTGTTAGTCATAGAGTCCGTATATACTGCCAAGTTAAAAACATGCCTTGCTACAATCGTCGTCAATAGTACAACAGATTATATTCCAGGCTACGTGCACTGTTAGGGTGGCTGCGTTTGATGAAGATTCGCGCGCGCTTTTCTTAACCTTTTGAGTACCCGATGCAAATTCGGTAATGATATTTCCTTATGCATGTGTGATGTGTGTGAGGTTCTACACAAGATGCTGAGAAATTAGTATATCACACTCATCTGCACAGTAGCTACCGAACATATCTTGGACAGCATCATACAAAGCTAGCTTGTGCATCAAAAAAAGTTGCAATTGCAATAGCTAGCTGATCAGAGCACTGCAGCTCTGCGACTGATTGTTCTCGATCACTGTGCATCAGCATCTGCAGAGTCCCACAAGAACACACCTCTTGCTAGCTAGCAGCAGCCTATAAATGGAGACCACACCAAAGCTCAGAGAGAAAACAAAGCAATCTAGCAAGAAATCAGCATCGATTAGCGAAGTCGATCAATCACACTACCATACATACATCCAGAGAAAGAAAATATATCGAAAATGTTCCGCGGCAACCCTAGGGCAACCGCGAGCAACGAGCTGCCGATCGAGAGCGTGGTGAGGGTGAAGAAGGTGGAGAGGATCGAGGCGAACAACCTCGCCACCAAGCCGTCACAAACGGCGACAGCCAAGGTGAACAGGAGCCTGACCGTCAGCGTTATCCGTGTCAGGGATGTGGATGAAATGCCCGACAGCTTTGTCTCGGTGCCTATTGCGCATAGCTAATCAGTGACCGCCCCTGTCATACATGTAATGCTCAGTTCTGTCAGGAAAAGCAGGTAATACTAACACGTATGGCTATATATGTGTATGTGTGTCGTCAGGAAAATAGTGGCATAACCAGGCACGCCAACCATACATACGTGTTACGTACTGAGTGTGTGTGTGTCTCTATAAGCAGTCCATCGGTGAGCTTCTTGTTGTATAAATAAACTTGTGCAACTCTTTTGCTCGCTCACTTATCGTGTTCGATCACTGCAATTGTTTTCTCTCTCAATTCAGTGAATAAGCACTAGACAAATAACTAGTAGAATATATTCTTCACCCTTACTCTGTTCTTCTATAGCATGTGCAGCCACAAGCAAGCTTAGCAAAATAGAGAATTCAGACAATAGTTACATGTGTGAGTGTAATAGCATAGCAGATTGAAAAGTTGTTCTAAAAAATTATTAGTTGAAATATACTTGTAATACATGAGTAGATTCACTTTTAGAATCTTCCTTTTCAATATAAGAAATTTAAAGAGCTTTAGCGATAAATCATGCAAAGCCATGATCTTGTAAAGTAATCTGCTGCTCTCCTTCTGTACGCGCGGCAGGGGCAGGCGTCGAAAGGGCTCTCCTGCTGCTGCACTGTAGCCGCGACAGGGGCAGGCGCCGAAAGGCTCCCCCGCCGCACTGTAGCCACAGCAGGGGTGGGCGTCAAAGTCAGCCATGCTGTCACATCTAGTCACTGTAGCAGCATGGCAGCCTGGCATGTCTGTGTACTAATATTAGATATGTAGAGTTATATATATAGCTTCCCACTGCAACTCAGTGAAGTGAGAGAGTTCAGTTTTGCCATCTCCTCTGCAGAGCTCCGGCCAATGCTGGTGCTTGTGCTGTGTGTGTGCGTTTTGTTCTCCCTCCCTCTTCTTCCTCCAGCTGTAGTGTGTGTGTGTGAACGCCGGTGAGTGGTCGCCTCACCCGTGCGGGAGATCTGGGGCCAACAAGTGTTAGAGCCGTACAAGCGCCGTCGCTAGACTAACCGCTGGCAATAACGAACGGTTTGGAGATGGGCGATAGCAGCGGCGCTGCCATGGCTGCTCAGCCACGACAGGAGGTCATCGTGCGCACGGTGCGGGAGGTCAGCAGCACCAGTTGGCCGACGCTGACTCGCACCAACTATGACAAGTGGGCAGTGACCATGAAGGTCAAGCTCAGAGCCCAACGGCTCTAGAATGCCATTGACAAGGGCACCGACAACGAAGAAGATGACATATCAGCATTGGAGGCTATCCTCGCTGCTGTGCCAGGGGAGTACACAGAGCCGTTGGGGGCGAAGAACTCTGCTAAGGAGGCGTGGGAGGCCATTGCAGCGATGCACATTGGCTTTGGCCACGCAAAGAAGGTGACAACCCAGCTGCTGAAGTAGGAGTATGCCAACCTCAAGTTTAAGGATGGTGAGTCGGTGGAGGACTTCTCCCTCCGCTTGAAGTTGCTCATAAGCAAGCGGAGGAGCCACGGCATCACCATCGACGAAGAAGAGGCGGTCTCCAAGTACCTCCACTCCGTGCCGGTGAAGTACATCCAGATCACTCTTTCCATAGAGATGATGCTGGACTTGTCCACCCTCACCATTGAGGATGTGATGGGCCGTCTGCGGGCGGTGGACGGGTGCATGGAGCAGGCCACTGCAACAACGGACAGCGGCAAGCTGCTGCTAACAGAGGAGGAGTGGGTTGCCCTGCTGAAGGAGAAGAAGTCCGGGGAAGCCTCCTCAAGCCGCGAATGCGATGGCAAGCGTCGCGGCAAGGCTTCTTCGGAGAAGAAAATGAAGAAGGTTGACCCCAACACCTGCCGGCGCTGCGGAAAGATGGGGCATTGGGCAAAGGAGTGCCCAAATCGTAAGCAGGAGAAGAAGGCTAAGGCTCATTTAGCGCAGGCTTATGAGGATGATGAGGCCACTCTTCTAATGGCGACGTTCTATGCACTGCACGACGTTGAGGCCAAAGAAAAGGGAGAGGTGATGGCGGTGGAAGGGCACGACAAGGCTCTGAAGGCTGTCACCTTGACGAACCGTGCGCCCAAGTCCACCTTGGACGTATGGGCGGTGAGTAGGAGCAGCGGTGGTACCTGGACTCCGGTGCCAGCAACCACATGATGGGCTCCAAGGAAGCCTTCTCCAATCTCGACGGCAACGTGATCGGCACGGTGAAGTTTAGTGACGGCTCAAGGGTGGTGATCCGAGGGCGCGACACCATCATCTTCAGGTGCTAGAATGACAAGCACCGACCGCTGACGGATGTATATTACATCCCACAGCTGTGTTCAAGCATCATCAACATTGGCCAGCTGGATGAGCGTGGCAGCGACGTATTGATCAAGAACGGTGTCCTTAGGATCAGGGATTAGGAGCAGCGGCTTCTTGCCAAGGTGAAGAGGTCCTAGAATCGGTTGTACCTGCTCGACTTGAAGGTGGAGCAGACGATGTGCCTGGCAACACGGCACACCGAGGAGCCATGGCTGTGGCATGCCTGGTTCGACCATCTCAGCTTCGACGCGCTCGGTTGGCTGGAGAAGATGGTCCAAGGGCTAGCCCACATCAAGCACGTAGGCGAGCTGTGTGACAGCTGCCTGATTGAGAAGCAGAGGAGGCCGCCATTCCTAAAGGCAGCCAAGTATCGCGTGGCGGACGCTGTCGAGCTCATCCACAGCAATCTTTGCGGGCCAATCACGCCAGCCACAAATGGTGGTCGGCGGTACTCCCTCCTGCTCATGGATGATTGCAGTTGCTATATGTGGCTGCAACTCCTAACGAGCAAGGACAAGGCGGTGGAAGCGATCAAGAATTTCAAGGCGCGCGCGGAGGCGGAGAGCAGCAACAAGCTGCGCGTGCTGCGGACTGATCGTGGCGGCAAATTCACTTCGGTGGAGTTCGCTGCATACTGCGTTGATCAGGGTGTGGTGCGACACCACACCGCAATGTACTCGCCATAGCAGAATGCTGTGGTGGAGCGGCGGAACCAGACGGTGGTCGGCATGGCTCGATCCATGATGAAGGCCAAGAGCATACCGACAAGGTTCTAGGGTGAGGTGGTGACCACGACGGTGTTCATCCTCAACCGTGCATCCACAAAGGCCCTAAAGGGCGTGATGCCATTTGAAGCTTGGTATGGGCACAAGCCGAGCGTGTCCTTCCTTCGGACATTCGGCTGCATTGGCCACGTCAGGAAGACGAAGCTAGTCCTCACCATGCTGGAGGACAAGAGCACACCGATGGTGCTCCTGGGCTACAAGGAAGGTGCCAAGGCGTATCGGCTCTATGACCCATGCGAAGGCAAGGTGGTTGTCTCACGCGACGTCGTGTTTGACAAGAAGGTGGCCTGGGACTGGGATAGTCCGGGCATGGGGAAAGTTGGTGGCTTCACTAGCACCTTTGTTGTCGAGCACTTGGTCATCCATGGTTGTGGAGACGCTGGAGAGGAGGTGCCGACCACTCCAGCAACAGAGCCAAGCACTCTTGGGGCGATGCCGAGCACTCCAGGAGGGGTACCGAGCACTCTAGGAGTGGTGCCGAGCGGTCCTGCAATGGTGTCGACCGCTCTAGGATGGGTGCCGAACGCTCCCGTAGCGGAGCCGAGAGGTCTTGTAGTGGTGCCGACCACTCCAAGACTAGTGCCGAGCACTCCTGCAGTGGTGTCAAGCACTCTAGGAGTGGTGACGAGCGGTCTAGGAGTAGTGCCAAGCATTGCAGCCGTGGTGCCGAGCACTCCAGGTGCTGTGCCAACCACTCCAGCGGAACAGGGGACTCCATCGATGCCGATCGAGTTCGCCTCACCTCTAAGCGACATCATCGAGTTCGTGGATGCCTTCCACGATGGTGAGGAGGTGCGGTTCCGCTAGCTGGATGACATCGTCGGTGGCATAGGGTCCTTAGGCCTGGCGGGTCGGCTGCTCAATGACCCAAAGCTGCTTCTCGTCAGTGTAGAGGAACCACACATGTTCATGCTGGCCGAGCATGATGCAAATTGGCAGCAGCGAAGAACTAGCACGTCCATCACCTAGACATAAAATCGGCCTTCCTCAACGACGAGCTAGTGGAGACGGTCTTCGTCAGGCAACCTTTGGGTTTTGCTGTCAAGGGAGCAGTGCATAGGGTGCTCCGACTACGCAAGGCGCTCTATGGGCTGCAGCAGGCCCTGCGAGCGTGGAACACCAAGCTAGACGCCATGCTGGGCGAGCTTGAACCAACCGAGCATGCGCTCTACACGCGATGACGGGGGAAGGAGGAGCTCACCGTCGACATATATGTGGACGATTTGATCGTCACCGGTGCGCGTGCGGAGGACATCGACAGCTTCAAGCGCGAGATGCCAGCTCATTTTTGAATGTGCGATCTCGGCGCGCTCTCCTACTACCTCGGCATCGAGGTGAGACAGGGGAAGGAGGTGCTCACGCTCGGTCAGAGCGCGTACGCCTTGAAGTTGTTGGAGCGGAGCGGCATGGCTGAGTGCAAGCCGTGAGTGACTCCAATGGCGGAGCGGCTGAAGCTGACGAAGGCCAGTAGCACGGCAAAGGAGATGCAATACTCTATCGGAGCATCATCGGCGGTCTGCGTTACCTAGTCCACACGAGGCCGGACATTGCTTTCGCCATGGGCTATGTTAGCCGCTTTATGGAGGATCCCCGAGAGGATCACTGGGCCGCGGTGAAGCGGCTGCTGCGCTATGTCAAGGAGATGGTGGATTAGGTGATCATCTTCCCCAAGACCGACGGAAGTGGTCTATAGCTCACTGTGTTCAGCGATGTAGACATGGCGGGGGACATTGACAGACGGCGGAGCACCTCTGGTGTGCTCGTCTTCCTCGGGTCGGCCCCAATCTCATGGTTGTCACTAAAACAGAAGGTGGTGGCGCTGTCCACATGCGAGGCAGAGTACGTGGCGGCGGCCACAGTGGCGTGCCAAGTTGTGTGGCTGCGCCAGCTGCTAGGCGAGCTGACCAGTGTGGAAGCTCACCCACTAGC